ACATAGTTTTAGAATCAATGATCTGCTTCCTAGTAATATTTCTAATTGTTTTCAAGGCTTTATTTGAAGATTGCATGATAGATCTCTATGGACCAAAATACATGTCTAGATGGAACTTCCCAATTTCAACAGACCAGATAACAAAAATAACTCCCATTTTACCCAACTGTCCTTGCATTGCAAGATAGTGAGTGTTCACAATTTCTCCTTTTGTATTTTTATGTCTGACACACACAAGGTAAGATTATTCAATATATGTAGATTTTAGACATGAGAAAACGTTTCCATGTCCCCCCCCCCTTTTTTTTGCTCTTGTACTGGCTTAATTATTAAACTCAGAAATAAGATAAGAAAACATTGAGTAAGGAGAACTTCTGGCAGTTGAGAGTTTACTTATTGGAATTTTATTAGGAAATAGTCAAAATGACTAAATTTCACAAGAGTATCAGTCAAGGCTGCAAACTTTCTGAGCGTTAGCTCTGGCTTTTGGATGGAGAGACTGGCAGGGACGTGCTGGGAAAACTGTCAGATTCACTAGGAGAGCATTGCCAGTCTTTGATCCACAGGACTGGTACACTGGGGTGGACAAAGGACAGAGAGACCAAAGGGCAATCATGTCTCCACAGCTGCTGGTGATAACAGGTTCAGCAGCTGCAGGAAGGAGGCTTTGTCCACAACAGGAGAGTGCTTGAAAATATCTCATGCACATAAGCATCGGTCTGAGGGGGCTGACTTGGTGTCATTGATAAGGGAGATCACAACTGTGCTCGGAGGGACAGGTCTAGTGTGTGTACGTGTGCAGGTCTTCACATGCACATGGGTTAGGTAGATAAAACCAAGGTTTTAGCTGGACTGAAAACTTCAAAGCCCACCAGGCTCAATACATCAAGTTCAATACATGTCAAGGCTTGAATGTCCTAACTTCCAGGAACACCAGAATCCATTTCACTCTGAACTCTCTGAAGGTGAGTCTCTTTCACAAATATTCTCACCCTGATTTCTGTTTGGCATCTCCCACAGACAGGAAGCATTTGTTAATATTTAACATATTTTTAAACAGTGACTGAGCTCATATATGTATATGTATATATGTATATAATTTTGTTAATTTTTGGTGTGGGGATCATACCCAGAGGTGCAGGTTAGGGGCTGGGAGGCCTGATTCCTAGTATGGTGATCACACTATAGAGCCAGGGATCAAATCTGGGGCTTCCATAACCCAAGTGTGTGCCTGGTGACTAGCTCTCTAGCCTTGTTACAATTTTTTGTTTAGTTAAAATTTTTTTTTGGTGATTTTGAGAATAAAAAAGCAAAGTAGAAGTAAGGTACATGCCTTCTGTGATCTCTTTTTAGACATCAGAACAGCAGGTCGTGGAGACAGTTCAAAGGGCAGAACACAGAGCACATCTTTGCACTAATGTGATCCCAAGTTTAATTACTGGCCCGTATGCTCCCCAGTATTGCCAGGATAACCATAACACTGCCAGGATAGCCATAATACCCTTATCCTCAACCCTGCACCTTGAACCACTTTATCTATGCAGTGAACCATCAGGTCTTGTACCTTCTGGATAAGTATCACAGGAAGTGGTCCCAATACTCCTTGAAAGATCTCTATTAAAAATATTAAATAAGGTCCAGGATGACAGTTCAAAGGGCTGAACACATGCTTTGCATGCAAGAGTCCTGGGTTCAATCCTCAGCACCACATGGTCCCCAAACACCACTTGAATCAACTCTTGAGTATTAGCAGGTGTGGCCCTCAAAGTCCAAACCATTCCACTCCCCACACAGTATAATAAAATAAAAAAAATACAATAGTGGTTCATTCTGTGGGGTGTAGCAACCTGTTTTGAAGTCATGGTTCTTGACCCCTTCTTGTTCCTCAGAGATCATTTCTTCCACAAACTCGCTAATTCTTCATTCAGAATTATCTTTTTTTATATATTCACCCATCCTTTATTTACACATCTGTTGTGGCATTTATCCCATTTTCTTTTTTTTTTTCATTTGTGTTTACGTGCACTATTTTATTGCTGCATTAACATGCTTCCTGAAACAAAGAATCACTTTCAGTGGCTGTTGCCTACTCAGTCTTGATTCCAAATAATTTGAGAAAAAAAATTTAATAGGAGAATTGATGTTTTACTGTACTTTGTTAGAGCAGTAACTCTATAAGTGGCTGTCAAATTCAAGAATGTTCTGTGCACAAGAAGCAGTCAAAATATTATTTATTGTGGTCTTGTTTACAAAAGGTGAAAGCAACCTAAATATATGGTTATCAGTCACTGATTAGGTGTTACTTGGAATACCCACATAGAGAAAACTATCCACTCACTCAAAAATGTCGGCAGGTCTATAGGCTCTAATAGGGAACAATTTCAGATGTGGTATTAAGTGAAAAGGGTAAAGTGAAGAATGATGTGTATTGTATGCTAAATTTTGTAGTGAAATAGATGTGTATGTGATATGCGCATAGAATATTTCCAGAAGGATACACAAAATAGTAATACCAGTGCATGCTGAGAGTAGAGGAACTGAGAGATCAGGCACAGGTGGTGGGGAGGCGACAAGCTAGCTCGAGGGGTGAAACACTCTATTTGTCATTAATCATTCTGCAATGTCATGACTGCAAATATCATCACCAAAAAACCCATCGTTGTAAATTTTAAGGTAACTATGGCTCACAAAATTGACTTCAGTAAATCCATACGAAGTGATTTCAAGACACATGAACATCTGGAAGTGTGGCTCAGTGAAAAAGCACATGTCTTGCATGTGTGAGAACCTGCAGTTGATTCCCCATACCACACAATCCTTTGGACCCCTTCAGAGTGACAGCTTCTCCTCTCCTCCGCCACCCCAGTACTGAGCCAGGAGTAGATGCTGAGAGCTGCTGGACGTGATCCGAAACCCCAAATCAAACACAAAGGTAGCAGCAAGGGTAGGAAAGGGTCACACTTTTCTCGTAGACTTTTCAGTTTTCATTTTAGATGTCACATTTGAACATATGGAACTATAAATTTAACTTAGAAAAGAAGTGATTGTATTTGGACTTCTCTATACTATTTCTTTTTTTGGACCACACCTGGCAGTGCTGAGGGGTTACTTCTGGCTCTGCCCTCAAGAATTACTCCTGGTGGTGCTTAGGGGACCAGATGGGATGCTGAGGATCAAATCCAGGTCTGGGCATACAAAGCAAGTACTTTACATGCTGTACTATTGTTCCACCCCACTTCTCGATTCTTTAAGCTCACTTTTTCTTGTTTCTTGTTTTCTGTTTTGGAAACATACCTGGAGGTGCTCAGTGCTTATTCTAAGCAATACCCAGGAAATCAGATGCAGAGCCAGGGATTGAACTGGGGTAGGCAGCAGGCAAGGAAAGCGCCATCCCCACTGTTACTATTTCTCTAGCCTGTCTTTTTCAAGACAGTCTTAGTGTTTTGTCCTTGGAGCGATAGCACAGTGGGTAGGGCATTTGCCTTGTGCGCAGTCAGCCTGGCCGAGCCGGGTTTGATTCCTCCGCCCCTCTTGGAGAGCCCGGCAAGCTACCGAGAGTATCTGGCCTACACGGCAAAGCCTGGCAAGTTATCCGTGACGTATTCAATATGCCAAACACAGTAACAAGTGTCACAATGGAGATGTTACTGGGCCCGCTCGAGCCAATCGATGAACAACGGGAGGACAGTGGACAGGACAGTGTACTTATTCATCAAAACTATGCCTGCGTGGTCTTTCTGCTAGAATGACCTGTTAGTACCATCTTGTACAAGACACAACACTGTGGCCTCTTGATGCACAGGGAAGGCAGCTGCCTTTTAGATATTCAGGGAATGCAGGATTGTTCAGGCCAGGCCAGAGGTACCTCCCCAGAAAGCAGCTGCAGCAGTGACATAGCTTCAACAGGCAGCTCAGCTTCAAAGCAACTGTGCGGTGCCTCTGAGGGCTGGGAAGCAGCTTGGCCAAATAGTTTCTTCCGTCACAGCTGCTCCCCCAGAAGGCACTGGCTGCTAAATTCTTGAATCCTAACCCCAGCCTTCCCCCTCCCAGTCAGGATAGAGAGGGGGTGGTCCCCAGTCATTGCTAGTCCCATAACTTCCCTCTCACCTAACCCCAGAAAGAGTCACTCTGGCACCAATTCCCACACCTGGCTTCTCTTCAAGACCAGGATCAACATGTATCTCAGATTTTGTTGTCTCAGCCTCAAGCTAACTCCTTTTCTTTCACTCCCATGTATTCTTCAGGTTTTAGCGAAAAGAGTTCCTCTCAGACTGTCTCCTCTGTGATAAATGCTCATTGCAGCTTGGCTTTATTTATCACTTCCTGCACACTGCTCAGTTTATTTCACATCTGTCTTCCCTGAGGAGCTGAACTCCAGGGCTGCCTCCCTTACGATTCCCCAATCCCCACCTCACACAGTGGCCAGCGTCTGTGAAGTCCCGGCGTAATGCTGGCTGAAGGGATGAGTCAATAAGGTTTAGTTATAACCAGGTACTCTTAGGAAACCTTCAAAAAGAAGCATGCAAAAACCTTCAATGTGGCATTGTTTATTTGAAAAGATCTGTTTTTTTTTTAATCTTTGTTTTCTACTAATCCAGTAACACTCTTCCTGGAGGCAGATGGGGGAGAATATGAGCGATAGCACAGCGGTAGGGCGTTTGCCTTGCACGCAGCCAACATGGCCGACCCGAGTTCGATTCCTCCGCCCTCTCGGAGAGCCCGGCAAGCTACCGAGAGTATCTCGCCCGCACGACAGAGCCTGGCAAGCTACTCATGATGTATTCGATATGCCAAACACAGTAACAGCAAAGTCTCCCATGGAGACGTTACTGGGCCCGCTCGAGCAAATCGATGAACAATGGGAGGACAGTGACAGTGACAGTGACATTCAGATGAAGGTAAAGACCAACATGTTGCTTTCATACGCTGCACACATAAAGACCACAGACCCAGAGAAGCCATCAGTCACTTTCTGAGCCCACTGCCAAGGGATTGGTCCTGGGTGTTGCTTTTCATGAAAAAAGCTTGGAGAGAAAATCAAGAAGGCTAAATTTCCATATCATGCCTCTCCTCCAAAAGATACTTCATTCATGAGGAGAGGAAGTCCAGGGGTGGTTTGCTGTGGCCTGGGGCTTCTTAGCCAGTGGCAGGTTTTCAGGGAGGCGACTGTCGGGGCTTCTCCAGTTTACACTACTCCCTTGATTTGCTTCAAAATTGTTTAAATACCCTCTAAATTGCTCTTTGTAAAGTAACTCCTTTAGTCCTTATTTCACGTGTTATCTGATTAAGCTTGTGGATCTGTGTGTGTTTGGGGGTTGGGCTTCGGTTTGGGGTATGCTCTTTATTGGCACAACTTGTCCCCTGGGAGGTTGGAGGTGACGAAATGCTTCTAAAGTGCCCCAGAAGTAAACATTGACAATATGGCTTGGTGCTAATCAGACACACTATTTAATAGCAAATGAGAATAGAGCAGGATTGTCTCCAGTCACCAGATATTTAGCCGTACCCCAGTAAGGAGGTGTATCACAAAGTACAAAGTATACCTGGAGGCTGTGCCAGGAAGGATGCTTCACTATGGCTCCATGCTGCCCCCTCGTGGCACATGCTACTCAATTACACCCTCCTCTCTGGGTTGACCATCTGAAGGCACAGTATTCAAAGACATTAGAAGATCCGGTCTGGGTCTAATTTTATGGTTAATTTTACGGTTAAAAACAGAGGGATTCCTCAACGGAAATAAAAAGCAATAGAAGAAAAATGAAAATGTTGACATTTAGGGATCTTCTGAAGAAAATCTCTAATGTTCACTTCTGCAGGTTATCAGAGACTTCTGGGACCTCAACAATCTCCTAGATTTGTGATGCTCCAAATTACCCAGAGACCGGGATGGTCAGCAGAGGGGGACACAAAAAGGGTCTCCAGAGAACTTGCTGCAGAGAAAAGGCACAGGGAGATGTAGGAAGGAGAAAGGAGTTAGGAAAAAAAGCAGGATGTAATCAGTTATTGGGAGACAATTTTCTGCTGTAAATAATTTTTTTAAATCTAGATTTTCAAACCTAGGTCGGCCACATGCAAGGCAAATGCCCTACCACTGTGCTATTGCTCCAGCCCAGCAAGCTACCAAGAGTATCTCGCCCGCAAGGCAGAGCCTGGCAAGCTCCCCGTGGCGTATTCGATATGCCAAAAACAGTAGCAACAAGTCTCATAATGGAGACGTTATTGGTACCTGCTTATGCAAATTGATGAATAATGGGAGGACAGTGCTACAGTGCTACAGATTTTCAAAGGAGCTATAAATTCAATGATAAAAATATATGTAATAGATTTTTTTTGCAAAGAAGGGAGCAGTTTTTATGTTAAATACAGTATAAGTAAGTTGGCTGGAAAAATACACAATTTTTGTTATCTTCACAATGCCACCACGTTGAAATCTCTGGAATAGCTCGAGCCATCGCCAGGTTTCCTGCAGGCATCCTTGGGTGAGACTCGAATAATGAACCAGCCACCTCCAGGGCCGTGCCACTGGGATTCACACCCTCTTCATTCCTTTCCCCATGAGGCAGGCAAACACTGTCATCACCATCTTAGGGTTCACTTCAACCAAATCTTCTGGCAGGGCATACACTCTTGCTCCAATTTTTCGTGCCATAGAGATGGCGTACCTGAAGGAGTGGAGGGAAAGTGGGAAGGGCGTTAGCAACCAAGTGAAGGGGATCTCTATGATAACAGTGACAGCCTTTCTTTATATGAAACACTCAGTGCTCTGTGCTCTCTACAATATACTCTTATCATACTGGATAATAGATATGTCATGCTAAATAATCTATTACATATAATTCTCTCTATAAAATCGATACCAGATACTATGAACCGTATACTACACAAAATTCACTTCTGATTGATGGTGCCGATCACTTGTTACCTTTACCTTTTATGGGAAAATTTTTGCTCCACAAAACTCCTGGCTCCTTCATAACCATTGTGAACTAGCCTCATGCTAAATAACACATTCATTATTTGCCATCTAGACCCTTCCTAGTTCACAGCACTTTGGAAGCCTGCACCGTGAATGTTCTCCGGACCATTCAATGGGTGGAAAGGATCACAGAACTAAACAAGAATTTGCAGTAGGACAAGTTTTCAGGTTCTATTTAAACTATAGAAACACTTTTACAGGGCAGGAAAGAGAGGAAATGCATCTGTAATATCTTGTCCTTATTTGGCAATTATTTTATTCCTTGTTTCATTCCAATCTTTGAGTACACACACTTATATTTATTTATGACACTGTAATATTAGAATAGCCAGTCTTATACATTTTTCATAGTGGTATCAGAACATTTTGGTTCTACTCATAGTTATATGGAGGTAATTTTTATTATTTGTAATTTGTTTGCAAATGAGTCCACTTTATTACCTGGCAGTTCTTTTATTCACCTCATTTATTACTCAGTAACCTCTTACTTTAACTGCTCCAGAGAGTCTCCATTCCACTGCGACCCCATTATTCCTGCCGTTCTCCTAAAGTAACTTTACTATTTGCTGATCAAATTAAATAAAGAACATCAGGGGGAAGCCATTGTTTTTCCTTGAACACCTCTCAATCACTTCACTTTATGCTAATTATTCATGAAATGCAAATTACTTTCTCTGTCATGAAACAGAAGAAAATTGTTCACAAATTAGAAAAGAGCTAAAAAAAAACTTGTGCACTGGAGCGATAGTACAGTGGGTAGGGCATTTGACTTGCAAGCGGCTGACCTGGATTCTATTCCTCTGTTCCTTTCAGAGAGCCCGGCAAGCTAACAAGAGTATCCCGCCTGCATGGCAGAGCCTGGCAAGCTCCCTGCGGCGTATTCGATATGCTAAAAACAGTAACAAGTCTCACAATGGAGACGTTACTGGTGCCTACTCGAGCAAATCGATAAACAATGAGAGAACAGTGCTACAGTGCTACTCAGTGGCCAATAGAGCAATTTTTATTTATTTTTTGTTTTGATATATTATTTAATTAATTAATTAATTTTAAATTTTTATTAGTGAAACACCATGAGGTACAGTTGTAGTCTTAAAAACTTTTGTGCTTGGGTTTCAGTTATACAATGATCAAACACCCATCCCTCCACCAGTGCCCATTCTCCACCACCAATGATCCCAGTATCCCTCCCACCCCATCCCCCCATCCGACCCTGCCTCTGTGGCAGGGCATTCCTTTTTGTTCTCTCTCTCCTATTGGGTGCTGTGGTTTGCAAAAGAAGCATTGAGTGGCAATCATGTTCGGTCTATAGTCTACTTTCAGCATATATCTCCCATCCTGGGAGGATCTTCCCAACACCCTTTACTTGGTCAATAGAGCAATTTTTAGCATAGCCACAGCCACAAAGTGCAAGAGCACCTTGGACCAGAATAGCAGCTGACCCCAGAAAAGTGCCACACCAGGCCCCTGAGATCACAGACACCACCACAAAGGAAGGGAAAAATAAATAACAACAAAAAGGTATTTTTAAAAATGATGAGATACAGGGGCTGGAGCGATAGCACAGCAGGTAGGGCATTTGCCTTGCACGCAGCCGACCCGGGTTTGATTCCCAGCATCCCATATGGTCCCCTGAGCACCGCCAGGAGTGATTCCTGAGTGCATGAGCCAGGAGTAACCCCTGTGCATCGCCAGGTGTGACCCAAAAAGAAAAAAAATGATGAGATACAGTAAGTAACAGAAAGGTGCCATGGTGAGTAAGAAGACACAGCAATTGACTTTACAGCCATCCAGAGCCTGCCTGGGTCCCACTTGCCCCAATCTCAGGTGATTTACATACTTTGCGTTGTTGAGTTTCTCATCATCATTCAGGCTGTCTGTCTTCAGAAGGTCATAGTTGATGGAACCAGGTTGGATGGCATCAATGAGATCCAGGACCGGCAGACTTGTGTTAATCTTTGGATCCTGTCCAGAGACAAAGGAGTTGTTTATCCACCAGCCCCAGGGTTCCTTCCATTGGCTCAAGAGAAGTGGGGGCTCTTTCCTCTTTGGCATCAACAGCAGGAGTCTGGTCTGCGAGAAAGGCCACTTCCTTTCATGTGGAATTTCAGGGCAGAGGTAGTTTCTGTTCTGACCTCACAGAAACTTGCTGGGGCTCACTGAGGAGAGGACCTGGATTGTCTGCCCACCGCCAGGGAACCATTCTCAATGGAAGCATGGAAAGAAGTTAGCACAACTCAAGAACAGCAGAGTGGCTGAAATATTGGGACTGATCTCACTCCTGGTGATCCAGTAGCAAAGCAGTGATTAGAAATAAAGAAACTAAAGATGCAATGAGATAGCTGCTTCCTTTAGAGGGACACCCCAGAGGAAATAGTAGCGGGTCATAATCTAATGTCTCCCATTAGTCTTGAATTCTTTCTTCACAGAATTCTTAGTGAAGAAACAAAGGAAAGCAAAAAAAAAAAAAAAAAAGAAAAAATATTTCACTTTCTTTCTTACTTTGTGCCATGATGTCCCTGATAGGCAACTTAACCGTTGGCAGATGTAGCTGAGAAGAAGAGCAGGAATGTTTCCAAAAGATTGGGTCCATCTGGGGCCATTATGACAGTACAAGAGGTAGGGTGCTTGCTTTGCATGTGGCCTACCTGAGTTGATCCCCAGAACCCCGTATGGTCCTGAGATTTCCCAGGAGCGATCCCTGAGTGCAGAGGCAGGGGCAGCCCCTGAGCTCTGCTGAGTTGCACACAAAAACAGGGATGTTCATCTTAGCAAGGGTTTTGCTCTAAAGGAATATGGGACTACTTTGACATGTTCCCTCTGGTCCTTTTAACTGACTTCTACAATGACTGAGTGAGAAGACAGGAGAGAATTAGTCCAGAGCATCACAAAGAGAAAAAGATGTCAAACATTTTCGAGAGTGAGTCCCTGTGAGAATAGCCCAGAAGTGAAACGATGATGGAATAGACTTGGGTGGCAGATGTTTTATAGAGAGATATAGGCAAGGTATCTGGGAGTTGCTGCCTAGTCATACAAGTGATTGGCCCCAGCTCTCCGCCTCATGCCTTGGCCCACAGGTAGAAGGAGCCCTCTCCTCTGCAGAGACCAGTGCCTGCAGCTACTAGCTACAACCACCTACAAAGACCTTACTTGACTTTCTCTATTCTCTGATAAATCAAGGAAAGCAGAACAGCCTGCTTCACCAAGAACATGACAAACCAGAATCCCTTCCCCAGATGTGGAGCGCTTCACGGGGTGGAACCTTCTTCGTTCTATACTACTTTTCCAAGTCTTTATGCAAAAACGTGCTCATGACTTTTGCCAGTCTCTACTTAAACATTTACTCTGCTGTCCAGACACAAATGTGAGTGGAGGCTGATGGGGGGTGGCTGGGATGAGGTCACCAAAAGTGAGGCTGGCCTAACCGGTAGAGACTGGCAGAGTTGGCAGAGTTTATTTCTTTGCCTGTGGTTCTGAAGCCAAGCATTGCTATCCTAACGAACTGTTTCTCTGACCTTGCTAATATAGCTCTGAAGGGGTGTCTCACCCAAATCCTGGCCTTTGAACCAGAAAAATACTGTTATGATAGCACCAACATGGCATATGAATCCAGTGTGCTGGTCCCCTGAGGAAGGAACCAGCTAATGTAAGAAACATGAGCTAAGAAATCTAATAAAATGCAATGTTATTACTCATAAAAATGGGATTTGGATGCAAGTATATAAGTACGTTTACTCAACAGACATCATCTAGGAGATATTTTTGCATTTCACCATTATTATTATCAACACGTTACACAATTTTAAAATGTTGTATGTTTATATTTTTTAGTCAAATTTAGTACAGAAGTTATGGCACATGTCTTGCATGTGGCTGACCCTGCTTTGATCCTGGCATTGTACATGGTTCCCCAAGTACCACTAGGAGTGGCCCCCGAACACAGTCAGTCCTGAGTACTGTTGGTGTGGCCCCTCCACCCTCGCTCCCCGCTGCGCCCATAAATTTTATGACACTTCTGAAGGACAATGCCCACAATAATGAGAAAAATGGCAGGGTTTTAAAATTAATGATGATAGGAGATAGTGGTTAGAAATTAATTTGATAACAAAAACCTTATGGATATCAAAACAATAATAAGTCAGTCAAAACTAAAATAGGACAGGGGTAAATCTTAAATATCTTAAACTAGTGATCACTTTAAAATGGGTAGTTCTTGGGGCTGGAGCAATAGCACAGCAGGGAGGGCGTTTGCCTTGCACACAACCGACCTGGGTTCGATTCCCAGCATCCCATAGGGTCCCCTGAGCACCACCAGGAATAATTCCTGAATTCAGAACCAGGAGTAGCCCCTGTACATCACCGGGTGGGACCCAAAAAACAAAACAAAACAAAACAACCCCAAAAAACAATAAAAAGCCAGGAAAAAAATGGGTAGTTCTGAAGAGACAATGATGATAGCATAGAGCTCAAATGGTAACAGGTAACAGACTATGAATAAAGAATTTTACCTTGAAACTTGAGATGGAGGAACTTTTCCCTGCTTCCTTCAATGTTTCATTCACCCAGTTGACAATAATGTCATCGTTGACCTTCTGCCCACCTCCGATGTCTTCAAGAATATTCAGTGTATACCTGAACAAAATCAAGAACAGTTGATGAGGAAAAGTGGCCCAGAAAGTCAAGACCAGGTAGCCAAGGGAGCAATGTTTTCTTGCCAGGCACCTCACGGAAGATAGTTTGGACATCATTACATTGGAGGAAAAAAGATCTAATAACTTAAACTCTATTTATTTTATTTATTTATTTTTCTTGAATCACCATGAAATTCAGTTGCGAAGATGTTCATGATTGGGTTTCAGTTATAAAACATTCCAACACCTGTCCCTTCATCAGTGTACATTTCCCACCACCAATGTCCCCAAGTTCCCTCCTGCCTGCTGCCCCCGACCGCAACAGATGCTTTTCCCCTTCTCTCTCTCTCTCTCTCTCTCTCTCTCTCTCTCTCTCTCTCTCTCTTTCTCTCTCTCCTTTTGGGCACTATGGTTTGTAATACAGCTACAGAAAAGTCATCATGTATATCCCTCTACTAACTTTCAGCACTTGGTTCTTGTCCAGAATGATCATTTCCTGCTGTCATTGCCATAGTGGTCCCTTCTCTGTCCTAACTGCCCTCTGTCCACCTTCCCTCCCCCCAAACACACACTTGTGGCAAGATCCAACCATGGACCAGTCCTGGCCCATGTTTCTACTGTCCTTGGATATTAGTCTTATACTATCACATTAACTCCTTTTAGAATAACTGACAGTGCAACCTGAGGTTGTTAGAAAGAAAGGCAGAGCAAATCCCTGCTAAGCACAGCCCTTGTACTACATGGAAAAGCAAAAGACAAGACAGCACTGCTAACGGGGACAGCTTTTCTTTTTTTCAAATGTATTTTTGGTCCATTAATGTCCTTTACTAATTAAAAAATGAAATTCATAGCGTCACACCCTCCCCTGTAGTGTCTACCAACAGATAGTTTTTCTGGTTTTGGGGCCATACCCAGTGGTGGTCAGGGCTTATTCCTAGTTCTATACTCAGGGATTCTCCTGCCCCAGCACCAGGCTGTCTTCACCAGGGCTCCTCCGAGAGGGGCGGGTTGAGTTTCTCTCCCCACCCCAAGCAGAACCTCAGCAGCCAAAAACCTGCAGAACCCAGCCACAGCCATGCTCAAGGCCACTCTCCACATGCTCAGACGAGCCTCACACATGAAGGAACTGCAGAGGAACCCAGGTATTCGGGATCTGTGGCTGAGATCTCCAAGGCTGCTCAGTTCGGGACTGGGCCTCCTCCACCCAGATCCCCAGTTTTCCAGTAGCTTTGCAGTCACACCCTCAAACTTCCCCCAGCACCTTGCAATCTCATCAACGGCCAAAATCCAGAGACTATAAAACAAAGCTCCCAGAAGAGAGTGATGCAGTATTTCCTGGAGCGACCTCTTATACTCTAGCCCACTGATGTACCTCATCTCGGAGTGCCCAGCAAGCTACCGAGAGCATTCCACCCGCATGGCAGAGCCTGGCAAGCTACCTGTGGCATATTTGGTATGACAAAAACAATAACAATAACGGGCCTCATTCCCCTGACCTTGAAAGAGCCCCCAGTACACCACTGGGCTACGCTAGCATGGGACAGGGACAAATAAAGTCATCACCGGCACCTGCCCAAGGAATGGGATCAGCGGGATCACAAGTGACAAGTGACACACTCAGGGATCACTCCTCGAGGGGCTCAGGAGATCATTCAATCCTGTCAGGGATTGAACCTGGTTGGCCACGTGAAAGGCAGGCATCCTACACACTATACTATCGCTCTGCCCTCATAAGTGAATTTTCTTAAGAAAAAAAAACTGAGGAACAACTGAATGCTGGAAGAAGCCAAGTAGCCAACATAATGATAAAACACAGGAGAATTTTCTTCTAATGCTATGTAAACGGAAATATTAGGACGACACTAGCCAAAGTTAATTTCTAGTCTGAAGATAAATTTGCCTGGGCAGAAATGTAGATTTCTCAGTGAGTTCTACCTTGTATGTGTGAGGATTTCCTGAATTGGATTTCCTACACCAGGAGAATAAGAATAAATCATTTTGCTTGAGATGCATACTCTTATGGGCATTGCATTTGTTTGGAGGAAAATTTCTAAGATGAGGCATCCAAGCTTTTAAAATTCCATGAAGCAGAATTCCTCAAAGCCACTTTTTCTTCCACTGAAAAGGAAAATTTAGCAAAGAGAGCCAAGCTGTTGGGCAGGTTTGTTGGGTTCAAACTTCCAGGAGGTGGGTGGGAGGAGCAGCCACATGAGAGACCTTCAGGGCTAAGGTTACAGAGTAAACCAATTCATACTGAAACCCAAGTCTCCTGCCATTAAATCTCACCTGGAAAGGCCTCCCTAAATGAGGTCACCCTTCACTTGGGTGCCCAGGAATCACTTACATAAGCCATTGTCTGTTTTCTTCCAGTTACTCTGTCTATGGAAAATACCAGACTCTCATGCTTTTCCACATGGCTTTCAAATTGGATCTCTGAAATAGGGGCAGTGCTTTGCCTCTCATAGATTGCTGTGCTTTCCCAATACTGTAATTGGAAAAGGAAATGACTTCTGCCACTTGTCTTTATTGAAAACAAAATTTTATTCACCAAATAAGAATGTCTAATAATACGGCATATTAGTTCTCTTAATTGTACTTCCCCAAACTCTTTGAAATCAACTAATATTCTCCCTCTGTATCCTTCCTCATAGAATTACTTTTCTAAAGTGCAGTCTGGTCATATAATTTAAAGTGATTCTCCATTAATATTTTGGTGGTGGAAATGATATAATAACATATCTTAAAGAGGTGCTACATTGTATGCCTAATATATATATATATATTCTTGTATTCTTATAAAACAGTATTACTGAAATAAAAGCATTGTTGCACTGTAGCACTCTCCTCCTGTTGTTCATCGATTTGCTCGAGTGGGCACCAGTAACGTCTCACAACAAATTGTGAGACTTGTTGTTACTGTGTTTGGCATATTGAATACATCACAGGTAGCTTTCCAGGCTTTGCCGTGCGGGCAAGATCCTCTCAGTAGCTTGCCGGGCTCTCCGAGAGGGGCAGAGGAATCAAACTCAGGCCGGCCTCATGCAAGGCAAACACCCTACCCGCTGTGCTATAGCTCCAGACTGAATAAAAGAAATAAAATAAAAAAAAATGACTCCTTCACCCAAAAAATGAAGGTCAAACTCCTTAGAATGGCACTCAAGGCATTCTACAACTTGGCTGTAGTGTCTATTTTTAGGCTCTCTCTGATTTCTCCTTCCTTATTATCTTCCCCATCTTATCTCAAACATACTCATCCCTCAACCACCCAGAACTACAGCAAGTAGTCCGGCTTTTTACCAGTAAATTTCAGGGAGCCATAATATTAAGAAACATTTGGAGAGACAAAAAGCATTAAAAAAAGAAATGTTGGTGTTATTAGATAAATTCTTTTTGTATGTTTATTTTTTGGGCCACACCTGGCATTGCTCAGGGGTTACTCCTCACTCTGCACTCAGGAATCACTCTGGCACTGTGATGGTATATGGTATGCCAGGGATTAAACTTGGGTCTGCCTCATGCAAAGCAGGCATCTGACACACTGCACTATAGCTCTGGCCCATGGCTAGACATATTCTGAAAAGAGGTTAGTTCAGGACAAAGGCCAGAGTCTGTTCTGAGAAAATTCACAGGCATGAATGATGTCCTGGTAAGACATTTGTACTTCACTATTTGTCTTCTACTGCAATTCTTTACTGCTACGAAAGATGAAGGACCTGGATTCTAAGTGGAGGCTGGTGCTGACTTCTATTCCTGTAAAGGGAATAACCTCACCTGACCCTGAGAGCTTCAGCTTCCCGAACATGCAGCTGGAAGAAATCAGCTCCCAGACATTGAGATCAGGGGTCTTAGGTCCAGCTTAATAGCTGCCTCATTGTGGTTGGCAGGACCTTCGTGTCCACACTGTGTAAGAGCTCACACAGACTTTACAAGTCCTGCGCTTCCGGGCACATACTCCAACTCCAACAGAACCATCAGCAATTCCTCAACCTCTCCTGCATCCTCCTGGTTCCCGTCTCCCCAACTCCACTATGTGCACTCCTCAGCATATCCTTCCTCTGGTGAATCTCTCATCTCCAAGGACAATCTCCAGCGTAAGCATCATTTTTCCAGCCCAGGTTGTGTAGTAATCATCATTGTTCAGTTACTTCCAACCCATTTCCCAGAATTTTCCATAGAGTTGATGTGAATGCATGCCTGTGCTTGCCCAGATGTCCCCTGGGACAGAGACCATCTGTCCTGTTCATCATTGTGTTTTTAGGGGTTAGCTGGGTTCCAGGTACATTCTGGGGAAATGAAAAAGCACAATAAATAGAATAACTTTCTTCCTCAGTAAAGAGAAAGTAATGGTGAGAAGTATTTAGTCTGGGTTCAAAGAGGGGAGCAGAATGCTAAGGAAGATTGAGGACTAAAGGAAAAAGAACCAGTTAGAATACTCAAAATATCCCAGGTTGGAACAAAGGACCCAGGTTTTGATCTGTTCATAAAGATGATAATTTTTTGCATATGTATTTACTTATAATTAGTATGTATATTCAATTATTAGTAGTTATAATGACATTTAATACATTTTATACTCATAGCTCTTTGCCATAACACTACACTATAGCACTGTCCTCCCACAGTTCATCGATTTGCTTGAGTGGGCACCAGTAACATATCCATTGTGAGACTTCTTGTTACTGTTTTTGGCATATCGAACGCAGCACGAGTAGCTTGCCAGCCTCTGCCATCCGGGTGCGATACTCTCGGTAGCTTGCCGGGCTCTCCGAGAGGAGCAGAGGAATCGAACCGGGGTCGGCCCGGGTTGGCCGCGTGCAAGGCAAACGCCCTACCTTCTGTGCTATTGCTCCAGCCCATTTACCATAGCATTATTCATAATTATAGAAAAATAAGAAACAATCTAAGTGTCCAACATACAGATGTGGTCATATACATTTACATCAAAATGCTATACCATTTTTATAGTTATATTTCTGAAAAGTTTTCAATCATGAAACAGAG